AAACTCCATGGTTTTTATAATCAATATGCACTTTTCTAGTTACGCCAAGCTCGGGTAAAAATTGTGTACAAAATATTTGTAAAAATTATTTTCCTTGATTCTTATCCAGTAAATCATAAATCACCGGAAAAGTCATTCAAATTCACTGTTTAAAAAGAGCGACAACTTTGAAAAACATTCAGATCTTACAACGCGGATGGAATCACAAAATCCATTTGTAAAAATGGAATTTACTGTATAACGCAGACGGAATTTGGCACATCTTGGATGATTAAATCAAATCAAAAGTTGGGCTGTACATGTCACGCTACGGTGAGATAAACGCACAAAGCTGAATGCAAATAGTCTTTAATAAGTCTACACAAGAGTAAATCCAGGACAGAACAGGCAGGAGACACACGTAGGGTGTCACGTAGTAGACCGGATGACAAACAGAGACCAGAACACAACTAATATAGTGGAGCAAACGAGGACAATTAACCAGACACACCTGAAATAAATGACACAATCAAACATGAGGGAAAACTGGGTTACAGAACACAACAAAAGTGTGACAGTACACTTAATCAAATTGTGATATAAACAAGTATGCAAATATTAAACTGCAAAAAGAGTGCCATTTAATATGAAGTTTGCATGTAATTTTTGTCAGATACACAGAAACTTTCAAAGCTCTTCACTGCAGCCTGACAAAACAAAACTTAAATTATAGCAGAAATATATTACTGTTGTACAATAGAATGTACTCAAATAAATAATAAAAAATAACAATAATAATAGTTTATTAAAACATGATTTGTTTTAAGGAATATCACACAATTTTTGTCCATTTTTTAATTTAACATTATGCGTTATTTAATTTAATGTTATGCAGCACTTTGCCAAAAAATTGAATTGTTCAAAACTTCAAATGTCATTTGATTACATTTTAAAAGATTAATTAAACAGTTAGTTTTATGTATTCATTTGATTACCACCATTTTTGATAAATCTATATTCATTCTTAAAACAGAATAAATAAATAAAATAAACGGAATTTCTAGAAATAAACAATATACATTTCATATGGCCCTATTATTGTTACAATTCTAATAAATTATTAAATAGTTAATTTGATGAATTCAGTTTATAAAACACAATTTCTGATAATAAAAATTTAATCAAACCTGAAAAATTCAAATGGAACGCACGGAATTTGGGAGAAAAGGAAATGGATTTTATATTGGCTGACCTAGACTGTTCTCCGTTTGCATTTCTCACCGGGATGAAGAACGGAATTCCCTTTATATGTTGGCTGTCAATCTTCTAGTTCCTGTAGGGTTTATTAACGGGCCTCACACATGGTACGAAAGCACTGCGGTTTCTTCAGAAAACCAGCTTTATGATTAACTCAGAACACCGATGAGCAACTGACTAAACTGCATTCCTTCATAAAAACAAGCCCTGACGCTGGGAATGAAATCCAGCCTTTAATTCCCTCCGAGATTCTGCTTCACATCTCTGTAGGACAGAAGCTCAAGATCTCACAATAACCTTCACCTGACTTCACATGCTGTAAGTTACCTAAACTCATCTGGCCTATACGGCTGTTCTTGCGTTTCCTAACCGTGTGGAGCGGATCTGGACGGCATGTAAATCTGTGGTACAGGTACGAGCATGTCTGAGCACACACAGTTCAGGTTACCTACTGAGTCTGGACTACAGCCATCAGCCTCTACTCCCCAAACAAACAGCACACAACACGCCATTCGCTTCAGCTCAACTCCTTTAGATCTCACGACCCAAAAACTGGTCACGGGACTGTTCTGAAGGCAAAAAACAAGATGCTAGAAAACCTATAATCATGCATAGGTCGTGGGAAGTTGTGGCCTAATGGTTAGAGAGTCGGACTCGTAACCCAAAGGTTGCGGGTTCAGCGCTCTCTCCTACCTTCAATACCACGACTGAGGTGCCCTTGAGCAAGGCACTGAACCCCCAACTGCTCCCCGGGCGCCGCAGCAAAAATGGCTGCCCACTGCTCCGGGTGTGTGTTCACGGTGTGTGTGTGCACTTTGGATGGGATAATGCAGAGCACTAATTCCGAGTATGGGTCACCATACTTGGCCACATGTCACTTCACTTCACTTCACTTCATATTTATAATAGCAGAATAAAGACAGTAGCACTTGAAACCTTTCTGTATAATGCATTACAAAGGTATTTAGAATGTGTTTGGTGCATTATATATTTTCATGAATAATAAGTTAAAATGCATTATGCAGACTCCTTGTTGCATCTGAAACTGGTTGTTTGTTGTGTTTTAATGCATTATACTTAAAGGTGTGACAAAAAGCATTATTATTATGAAGTATTATCATGCATTAACTGTGGCTACAATTATTCATGAGCTCATGCAATGCACAAAAATGTGCATAAGTCATCAAATTAATGCATTAAATATATTTTTTATAATGTATTATATACTGTATATAAAGGCTTGAAGTGAAGTGTTAAGACTTTTAAATCCGCTTTTAAAGGGAGAAAAAAACTGTAGCAATATTCATAAACGTCAGTGTTTGATGTTACTTTCAAAAAACAAACTGTTTAGTTCTGGATTTTGGTCACTAGAAAAACCAGTTAAAAACCACTAATCTACAATATGACTTCAGTGCAACATTGTCAAGCAGACAACTATTAAGAACAAGAGCAAGATCTTCTGAATCTTGGAACGTGTTCAGCAACACATATTTGATGTGCTTCCTCCCATAATGCATCCCGAAACGCCCGTTTCCTTCCTGCGATTGCCCGATATGCTTCTACGGAGCTTTAAATGCATGCATTTGTCCAAATCTGACTGTGATCTCGGACAGAATGACGTGAGGCCAGCTTTATTTTCCAGGATAAGATCTGATCTGAGAGCAGGTTTAACGTGAAGAGCATCTGTCTGTGCTGCAAACACACACTGCTCACACAGAAACAAACGGGATCACATTTCTAATAGATAATCACTCACTTGGCAGCATTTCTTCTTAAGAGGCATGAAATTAAATGGAGAGCTAATGGAAACTATTGCTGAAGTCTACTGCTTCTCAGATGTTTCTCCAGAGAAAACGATCTCAGCAGTCTCGTATCTTTCTCCTCTAGATTTGCCCGATCAAACTTCTTACTTCTCAGATGTTTCTGCTTAGAAAAAGACCTCCGTAATCTTGTGTATGTCTCCTCTAGAGTTTGAGATTTGCCATAACCCAGAGGATTTATTACATTGCATTGCTCATACGTTGAACTTTCAAAGCTCAGGAGACATAAATGAGTTTTTAATTCAAGTCTCAAGTACAAACTTTCAGATGTTTCTCTTAAACACCCTGATCATTTTATTAACTCTGATGAGAAGAAATGCTTGAGTTCAGATTGAAGTTTTTTCCCCCTATATATCTATCTCACTTATTTCTCAGAGACAGCAAAGAGGTCAGATGGAGAAAAAAGGCTGCATTCTGCTTTTCATAGTTTTTTTTTTTTGTGAGAACGTCCTCACATGAGTCTCCTCTAGTATTTCAGAAGAGATCTCAACAATGAGACACTGAAGTCTGCAATGAAAAGTCAGAGATCTCAACATGAACTCAATGATTTCTCACTGAATAATCAGAACTGCTCTCCATATGCATTTCACAGCTGTTCTGTTCACAGCAGAAACATCTGATACAATGTTCAAATTTGAACGAAGCATAACCGAGACCTCCATTAAGTCTCATCTTCTTCTCATCAGAGCTGCAGCAGGAATATCAAACTGTAAAGCTCCCTATAATGTGTCAGCACTACAGTAATACTGAACATCAACAGACAGAAGAGACGGTCATGTGACGGTGGCACACGCTCTGAATCCGTGATGAACAGGAGCACTGAGTGCGGAAAACCACGGCGAAAAAACAGGATTAGCAGCCAAGCACCAAGCAGCTAAAATCATGCCCACAGGACCTGAAAGAGACCCCCTGTCTGTGTGTTCTCAACAGGATATTCTACAGGAACAGCTGTCAACACAAGGAAACACTGTCCAGCTCAGCGAGACACTTCAGAGCAGTATTACTCAGACTGACTTTGAGTTTGCATTTGAAGGACACACTCGGACTGACATTCACATGATGTTAACACACACGTCCCCTACAGATAAACACACACTGTATCTATACATTACGATCTGTAGCCTACAAATAAACATCTTATATTTTATAAAATAATATTTAATAATAATGAGGAACAAATCTGAAATTTTAGTTTATCATGAAGTCCATCTACATTAAAATGAACAGAAGATTAATAATGTATACAGAAATATAAATATATATATAATTATAAAATTATATACAATATATACACACACACACACATATATGCACAGCCTATATAAACAATATAAAATTCTAAATATATCAAAATAATTTGGCCTAAGACAAATGCTCATTCTGATATTAATAAATCTGATATTCATGTCCTGTAGTACTTTGAAGATTGCCATGGTAAAGAATACCATGGTGTTGGGTAAAATACATGGATTTATATCTATTTACACACACACAAAAAATGATATACATATTTATATAACACAAATCTTATGTCACTTAAAAAATGTAGTGTAGCAGTATCATGATTCAGTGATGAGATCTTATGACAAAACCATGGTATTTTAATATACTACGGTACTGATTGCCTTATGCCATGGTCAAATGATGTCTTTCCATGCTATGTTCCTACAGCAATGCAATTTACATGAACATAAACAATCTAAACATTATACCACTTAGAATAAAAATAGTGCTCTGGCAGAAAAACAGTCAGTGATTGTACGAAGTGTGAATACCATGGTACTGTTTGATTAACATATTCATAACCCTGGTACTGTCAGGTACTTCCAACATGACTGTATTATAAATTAATCATTTTAAAACTAGCATGTTTGTATGGAAAAGCATTTATATGCATTAAATCGATGTGTGACAGAAGCCTGGATGTAAAAGACCCCCGCATACCGAGATCTGCAGCATCCATCAGCGAGTCCGCGTCCTCCGCCGCGCATCCTCCGGCCGCGGCTCCCTCCATCGGATCCGGATCAAGCGAGCCGCGGAGCGTCAACGCGAACCAAAGCAAGGAAACACGGAGCGCGCGTCATGATCGGGGTCCGCGGTGCGCCGCGTGAGCGAGTCCGCGCAGCAGTGACGTCACCCGAGTAGCGCCTTTCACAATGACGTCAGCCACGGAGGAACGTACATATGCTGGCATTTCATTTAAATATTATTTAAGTTTAAAGCACTATAAAAGCCTCCAATTTTCCATTAAATTAAACAGTGAGAGGACACATTTACCATTAAAAAAAAAAGGAAAACACTGCAGTTTTTAAATGGGAAAATACCACTCTTTACCGGGTGACCCTTAAACTACAATACACTTGAAAAACCACACACACACACACA